AAGTGTGTGCAAATACTTGGGAATGACATTTGGGTTGAATATGATGAAATAATCAAACATTTCTTAAACACTTTGATTCATTATCTCGAAAGCTTTTCATTTCTTGATGTGAATGTTTGATTTAAATCAACTTTACAGAGCACAAGACTTCAAGTCATTATCCATTAATATGTAACTAGTCGAGTCATAAAGTGTTTTGAAATACAATAATGTAGGGGATTACAGTGATAAAATAATACAATAAAGCACTTAAGTTTGAGTTTAGGTAACATATTTACTCTATTACTGCAACAGGCTGAAGCAGAGCTTTTGTTCATTGTGTATTCAGTATCTCCAGTTTGTTGCATAAGGATTCATAGAACCATGAACCTTTAGCACTACAAACCTACTTGTATTTTATTTGAGCTTTATATGATAGAACAACACAAATTATAATTTAAAAACGTTTTTACAAATAGAGTTCTGGGAAAAATAAGAGCCCTCTGCATTGAACTTCATTGTTATTCCACCTGATTCCTGAACTCTTCCTGAGTTAAAACATTGTTATTGTTGTTTCTAAATGAATACAAACTTGTTTTCTTTTCATTATTTGAGGTCTGAAAGCACTGCATCTGTTTTTTTTTTTTTTTGTAATTTTGACCATTTCTTATTTTCTGATAATAAACATAAAATGTTTGCTTGGAATTTCAGAGACACGTTGTCAGTAGTTGAAAGAATAAAAGAACAAAGATCATTTAACTCAAACTTATACCTATAAAACTAAAATAAGTTTTGTTTAGAGGTTGACACAAGCCAGATGTCACAGCTAACATCTGGAAGAAGCAGCCATTTATGATCAAACTTTCTTTTATTAGCTAACATATAAAACATGTGACGGACCCTGAACACAACATCGCTGCTGTGAAACATGGCGGTGGTAGGATCATGCTGTGGGGATGTTTTTCTTCTGCGTGGTTAAAGGAAAGGAGCCAAATAAAGGTCAGTTAGAGGCGACACAAAACGTGAGATACATACAGCCAGAGCTACAGTGGGACGGTTTAATTCAATGGTGTTCAAACTTTTTGCAATTAAAAGCAGTTGTGGTCTACAAAAACTGTATTTTTTATTATGAAAAATACAAAACATATTCTTTTGTAGAAAGAAACTAAATGCACAATGTTTCTACAAAAATAAAAATCTGTAAATCATTTTAGATGTATTGTAAGTCACAAGAAAATGATATGAATCTCTGTTTTTATTGTTTTCTTTCATTAAAAAATAAAATAAAATCGGATTTAGCCTAGTTTAATAAATTCTAAAGAATGACTGGATGTTTGTGGTGATAAATACTCTGCAATTAAAATTAACTGAAAAAATGTGGTAATTAAACAATGAATAGTTTGTTTTAGGATTATTTTAATTTGTCTGTAATTTATTTAGTCTGAAACACTGAGTTCCTTCAAACCTAATTTAAAAATTCACATTTTCAGATTTGCTTTTGAACCATAATAAATGAAACATTGACCAACATTTTGATGCATTTTGCATTTTGTTTCTTGACAAAATGTAATGTTTACTGGTTTTCTTAAATGTTGACTGTGTGGCGTCTTCTGTGACTTCATTTTTGTGTTTTTGTGGTGTAAAGCAATTTGAACTGCCTTGTTGCTGAAATGTATTATGACAAAAAACTTGATTGATTTTTTTTTTTTTTTGATCAGTGAAAATTTCACTTTAGTTTGTTTTAATTGTGTCACCATCAACCGTCTGGTGAAATAAATCTGTGCTTTTCTTGACTTGTGGACCAGGAGTGCAAATGCCTCCTCTATGTTTGGACACAGCTGGTTTAGTTCAAAGCATGTTTAAGATTGTCATTCGGAAAAGAATTTGAAAATCATTTTAACATCAAATCCAAATGAAAACATTTTGGGTTTTGTGGTTTTAACGTAATAAAGCATGAAATTGATCCTCTTATCTTATGTCACTGCTTTCATTTTGTCTAGTTATCAGGACTTTGACCACATCTATGCAGGTTTGGTTGGAATTTGGATCAAAATTTCCCTTTCAAAGTGCAGCTCAAGCAAGAAAGCTTGCACAGGACTCGTGTATCAGCGCATGATTAGGAGCATATCTGATAAGACATGGAGCTTGAATTACTAACTTTTTATTTGTATCTTGCTCCCTCATCTCCATGGGCACTGCTGGGGCTTGCTGCAGATAAGATCTCACCATGCCTAACGCAGTGTGTGTTTGACTTTGCTGCCACCAGAGATTGATGACTTCCACACAGATGCCTTGCAGAGGCTTCATCTTGCAGAGAGCAAGATGAAGCCCAGATAGTGAGTGTCTCAATAGAAAAATTATTAGCCCGCACAGGCCCACTTTAAAAATGTGATGTATGTTGATTAAAGAATGAGTAGGAACACCTTTAAGCTTGTCATCGTCTCTGCTTAAAACACCGGTGAGAGAAAAGTTACTGTTAAGGCAGTTTAGTGCGACTGAGATTTAAAAGCCAAGAGGCCTCACAGACTTCAAGTATCTGTTTGAAAATGGTGCCAACTTAGCTCACAGGCAGAAGGAGTGATGAATAGCCTGACAAATGCAAGATAATTACCAAAACAATTATTGCATATCGAATATTGGTGGACATCCAATACTTCTTTGAGAGTGACTAATAGGAGTACCACCCTCATAGGTCAAAAACACTGTTTTGCAACTTGAAAGGGATTTTAACGCTTTCGTTTCTTCTTGTCTATATCGCAACAATGCTCAGAGGAGAGCTACATTTTTTTAAAATGCAAGCTGGGGCAAAACCTGCTGCTTCTTTTGTGAAGGATGAAAAAAACATGAAAGATAAGTCGGAAAACGAATACAGGAAAAAAAAGTTTACACTAAAACAAATGTCATAAAATCTGAGCTGTTATGGCATAAACTGGAAAGGTGTGAAAATTATAGTTATAAATTATTAAAACAGGCTTGAAAAACAGAAATAATGACCTCATCTGACACACTGTGACTTATTTATTAATGAAATGGCTGTGCAAGCTGGATGTCAGACACTAATAACAGTGCCATGGCTGTAAATTATGGCTCCCATAAAAGTTAAAACGTATAAAATGAAAGATGAAAGCCGTTGTAAAACGTTTCAGAAAGCAACACTGTTTGGAAATTACACCTTTTTCCTTCGAATTACATTTTCCACCAGCATCAACAAGTCGCAGCAGATACTTTTATGCCATATAAGACCGAACTGAAGACAACAAATCAAATTTACTGTGTCATTATAAGAGAAAATTCAGTTCCTTCTTCAGTAATGGAGGGGTGAGTTGATCTGTATAGAGCAAAAGTTAAAAAAAAGTAATTTTTATTGCTTTTTAAAAGATATTTAGTGTGCTTAATATCCTCATTAGTATTATATACTGGTAGTAATGTATACAAACAAAGCAAGGTTGTATACTTAAGAATAATTTAGTGAAATATTTGACCTTTTTGGGTAACAAGAGTGTGATGAAAAGAGTTGCCTTCTTTCTGTCGCATCAGCTGAGCTACAACTGGATAAAAAAATATTTTATTAAAAAACAACAAAAAATTAATGATACTTGCACTTTTATTGAGACAATCTGTACTTGGTGTTTTACATTTTTTTATATTTTCTGTTTGTATTGACTTTATGGAGAATTTTTTGGTCAAACTGTGAATGTTGAACAAATTAGCACTAGCTTGCACAAGCTACTTGGTAGCTAAAAGGCTAATGTTCTCTAAAGTGATTAAACTTGTTATGTACTGTTGATAACTAAAGTTATTGACACAATCCACAGACTTTAGCATTATTTTACAGCATAAATGTAAGTTTTTTATTTTAAAATAGTGGCCTGATGAGAATTATGGAGTTTCTTCTTTCGTCTCTAACCAAATAAACACTGTCACTAATTCTCTAACGCAGAATTTAAGAAGAAAAAAAAAGAGGATTTTTTTTAAAAAAAACCTGTACAGTTGCATAAAATATTTGAAGAATGAGCAATTTTGTTATTTGCTGTAAACTACAAACAATTGAGTTTGACATTAAAAATATGAGACAATAGATCATTTCCCCGAACCATTGTTAAATCATCAATTATTTGTGATCATGTTTCAGTTTCTCAAACAACATTACGTCCGTCAAGAATCACTTAGAGCAGAAGTATAAAACTTTTATAAAAATATATGTTTCTTACCAATTTTGTTAAAACTATTACTATGTTGTGGCAGTTCTGTGATGGTTTCTCACAACACATCCGGCCATGAAAGCTAAGGCTAGTTAGCATAGCTTTTTTTCTGGAATTATAAGTTGTTTCCCTGCCATTAGCACATTTAGCAGCGCATTCACTAGGTGGATTGGCAGCGTTAAGACCTTCCTTCTGGCCCTGATCAGTTGTTTTTTTGGTCAGGAGAAATGTATTTCTTCAGAGGGCAATAGTAGCTCAGGGAGAAGGTGGAGAAGCTCAATCTTATTACAGATTGCCTGTCTCATCTCATACCGTAACAAAATGGCGACAGTTTTAACAAATATGTAAAAAACTTTTTTTTTTTTATAAAAGTTGTGTACTGTTGCTTTAATTGGAATCTGACAATCTGCAAAAGGCTAAAAAATGCACAAAATTAAAAGAGAATTAAGAACGGATAAAAAACAGTCATTGATTTCCACCATTAAGAAAATGGTTACAAAGCAATGTCTTAGACTTCGGGACATACAGAGAACCACACTGAGAATCTTTGTCCATAAAGAAACAACATGAAAAATCCTATGACTCTTCCCAGTAGTGGATGACCTCCATGGAGAAAATCAAGGATTCATACAGCAGAACACATGAAAACCCATAAACCACATCTGAAGCTCCACAGCCTGCCTCACTTGAGGTCGGGTTTAATGAATCATTCATAAACATGATATTCAGGAGACCAGAGCTGTAAAAAAAAAAAAAAAACTGCATTCTTGATAGAGCAAAACTCACTGGACTTAAATCCAAGCTTTGACTGGATTTAAGTCCATGTCATAGGACTTAAATCCTATGACATGTTGCAACATGATCTTAAACAGGCCACTTATATGTAAACAATCATTCAACTTTTCTGCAAAGAAAAATGTTGACATTCTTTTGGATAGTCAGGTTTTGATGTCAAATGCGAATGTTTGCTGTCAACATTTAAATAAATTTTCTTTACCTTGCCGATGCTTTTGGAGGAGGGAGCATTTTCTTAAACTGAGTTCTTAGATTTGGTAAAGGACAAATTTGACTCATGCATCCCTGAACTGGGTGATGCAGGCATGGAAAATGCACGGCTGGTTGCTTTCACTAATCTACAAATAAAAAAAACTCTCCTGACTTGTTTTTATATTTCTAAATTCCTGTAATCAGAATTGGAAGAGGGTCACTGACAACCTTCAACAAATTTCCTTCACGCTCAGCTGATTTAAGTGCAGCTCCAGTTGCAACAACTCTGGATGTTATTTCAGTGGACAAGAAAGAGGCCAAGTATGTTCATGGAGCATGCTACTGTGTACATTCTCAGAAACCTTCATAATACATGAAATCATGCTCTGTCTCTTCAGAAACCTCATGCTATTGCCAAAATACTTGCACTTAAATCAAAGTGTGTGGACATTAAAAAAAAAAAAAAGAGGATCAAGTTACAGTGAGTGTGTCTTAAAAAGTTTTTCACAATTGCAGAAAATGTCCAAGTTGGGACCATACCCTACAGCTCAGAGTGGAAGCACATCTTAAAAAGCAAAAGATGGAGCTACATGATGGCACAGACCACAGAGTGGCGCTTGTACAGATGGCCCTCTGACCCAGCTTTCCTCCTCAGTCTGTTCAGGGACTCACTCGTGCGTGTCCGACTGTAACCCGCAGCCTCTATTGATCTTCTCTTCTGGATCTGATGAAGCACGATCCGGTAAGTCCCAGTGACAGGGCTTCTCAAGTCAAGACTGTTGTTGAGGAGATGAACCGCGCTGATGCCAAGATCCTCCAGCACCACTTTCACGCTCAGATCCTCTGAGGTGAGGACATGGTTCTGGTCGACCAGGTGTGACGGAGTAGGTCTGGAGGGCGGGTAGGCCTGAGGGTACTCGATGCCCGTCATCCAGTCACTCGTCATAATCTGCGCCAAGGTGAGGCGGTCTACGGGAACTGGCCTCAGGAGGCCCTTTATTATCTCCTGACAGGATTGGGGAACGTATGAGGGAATGACATAAGAACCCTGCAGGATGCAAATCTTCAACCGGGTCGTGGTGGCTGCTTTAAAGGGCATTGTGGCGGTCGCCATGAAGTAAAGCAAAATACCCAGAGCCCAAGTATCTGCATAGCGTCCAATGTAGCCTTTCTCTTTGAAAATCTCAGGCGCTGCATAAGGTGGAGAGCCACAGAATGTGTGGAGTACATCACTGGAGCAGCAACACGTGCTAAAACCAAAATCCCCGACTTTAATGCAGTAGGTGTGGGTGTAGAACACATTCTCAGCCTTCAGGTCCCTGTGGACAATGTTATTATCATGCTGGAAAAGGAGAAGACAAACACATGTTATTGAAGTAATCAGAGCTGATAATAAAAGTTAAAAAGTTTAGCTCTTTTTTTAAAGCTGCAGTACGTGACTTTTATTTAAAGATGCATATCTTTAAAGCTGTCGGGACAGTATGATATGAGACAGATAATCTGAAAAAAAATCAATCTCTTCCACCTCCTCGCTCTACTGCTATTGCTCCTGGTCAGGAACAACCAATCAGAGTCAGGAGGAGGGCCTTAGGGCTGTCAATCAATCTCATGTACTCACTGGTAAATGTGCTAATGGTAGAGAAACACCTTATCGCTACTGCTGTCAATGGTGGCCATGCTAACTAGCCTTACCATTCACAACAAGCTCTGCTGACTGGAAGATATTATATAGTAGCTTGATTGGCAGCGCTAAGACCCGCCTCCTGGCTCTGATTGGTTGTTTCTGGTTAGCACTGGGAGCACTGGGAGAAGGCAGAGGAGCTAAATTTTTTTTTTACAGATTATCTGTCTCATACTATACTGTCACATCATAGTGGCAGTTTCAACAAATATGTCAAAAAATATATTTATGTACTGCAGCTTTAACCCCCCTAGCAGCGAAGTTGCTGATTGTATCTAAACTCTCATTCCCACTGAGGGTTATGGTACAGGTTGGTGTGGTTTGTTAAGCTATTTGTCTGTTTCCCTTGTATGTTTTAGATAAGAGATGCAGGGCAGTGTGCCTTGAGGATCAGAGCTGGGGAACACTGACTCATGTGGGAACGAGGTATAAGTGAAAAACTCTTCCCTCTCTCATGTTGGGTGTGCAAAACTGCAAAAATTAAATCAGTCCATTATGAGCTGCTGTATGAGGATCAAAGATTAATTTGACAAAACTCAAGGTGGGGGACATCAACAGATTTGGTCCCCACTGTATAGTGGGGCATAGATGTATAGTATGTACAACTATGCATCTTTGAAAAGCAGAAGTGGAGCCTCCTGCACAACCAACAAGAATTTAGTAAGTGGTTTCTGATTGATAAGTCAATAACAAAACAGTTGACTTTTCCAGCAGCCATTGTGCAGCGGATACAGTGGTAAAACCAACTTAACAAGTGCTCTGGAGCTCCGCTTGGGTTGCTAGGCGATGGGATGGGCTTTGCTGGGGTTGCTAGGTAACAACGAAGTGTGACTCAACAATCGGGAGATTTTTGAAATGGCTCATTTTCCAGACACCAAAAAACCATTAACTTATTGCTTAAGAACTTGGACTGTTTATAGAAGCTGTTAATTTCCAAAATTGAAGGGCAAAAATGTGAATTTTGCATAATTTTTTAGGCAAAAATTATTCTGTACTTTTGCCTAAACATCATCATGTCAGTTCCTGGAACCCTCAGTGTTTGACCCGGTTTGACACTTTCCTCTGAAGCTGCTTGCTTTCGTTTTCCTGGGAAACCCAACGCCCACTCCGTTCCCCAGAGAACTGCCTCCGTCTCATTAACTCACCATGTGCTTGACTGCCGAGAGAACCTGCGAAAACACCAGCTTGCTTTCAAGGTCCGACAGGCGCCCCTTGGTGGTGATCCTGGAGAACAGCTCCCCTCCGCTGGCATACTCCATCACCAGGTAAAGGCGCTTGAAGGTTTCCACCACCTCGTACAGGCGCACTATGTTGGGGTGGGAAAGCCTCTCCATGCAGGTGATCTCAGAGGCAAAGAGAGCTTGGGCGTGTTTGCTCAGGCGCTCCTTATCCAGGACTTTCACTGCTACTCTCTCTATATCACACGATGACACACAAAGAAAGGTAATCAAAAACACAATTTTCTCTTAAGCTTCATAATCTCCTCATTTAAATTTCTATTAAAATGCGGCATTAGACCTGACGTGTCCCCTCTAGCCCTTCACAACATAGCTGCCATGTGACTCGAAAGCAGGCGAGGATGAAAACATTATGGATTAGTTAGGGTGATGAGATTAGTCATGTCTTCTGACATGTGGAATGACCCAGATTGATGGAAGTATGTCTCCTTAAGCTCAGCTGGATGTCTGTGCATTCATCTGGTTCCCATCAAACACGTGATTCAAAACACAGAGCGGAAAAAAATGTCTCAAAAAACGAGTCACAGGAAGAGGAAATGGAAGATTAAAAATTGTCTCTGTACAAACTGCACAGACATTTTTATGTAAAACATCTTTAAGTTGTTCATCATAAACAGTGGCGCGCCCAGGAGAGGGGTGAGGGGGGCCACGAGCCCCTCTTGAAAAACGCTGGCTACCCCAGAGAGTCATGTTCATGTCATATTAAGGCAAACAGAGCCATAAATATAAAACTCAATAAATGAATAAATACAAAATAAATAGATAAATAAATACAATTATGTATTTTTTTCTATTTCTTTTCTTGTCTTATTTTTTATTTGTGACCCCCTAAATGTTTTAACACCAACCCCTATGAAAATGTTCTAGGATCTCCACTGCATGAAAATAGGTGCTTGACTACACAGGGAATAATAATTTAAAAGTTTAGAATAACTGGAGTGGCAAATGAGGCTGGATGGTTGGAAGTTTCCATAATAAGTCTTTTTATCTTTCACACAATGCAAAAACACAAAATCTTACCAAGTATTTTTGGTCTATTTTATAATGCAAATACCTTAATACAGTTGAAATAAAACAAAACTAAATTATATGTAACTTTTCAGCAAGATATAGGAGTTTGTTTTAGGTCAATTATTCCTTAATATTTATGAAAAAGTACTTTCTCCACTGGTAGATTATTTCACTTGTAACAAGTGAATAATATCTTGTTATAAATTGAAAAAAGCTGTGAGTTTAATGAGTATTTTTAAAATAAATCTTAAGAAATTATTTACTTAAACAAAGCTCCTCTGTCTTGCTAAAAAGTTACTTGTGAGTTAGTTGTGTCTTATTTAAAGGGTTAAGATATTTGCACTGGAAACTAAACAAAAAAATACTGTATTTTTGTAGTGCACATATTGTTCTCCATAAGTGTGAAAGATTCTGTATGTCGTAATAAAATCAAAGCATCCAAAATCTCACCTTTAGTCAAGTCATGTATTCCCAGTCTAACCTGCGAAAAGTTACCAGAACCGATTTCTCCCTTCAACTCGTAAAATCCCACGCGCCGTCCAAACGTCAGGTCGTCCATCACCCTCTCCGAATGGGTCATGTTGTACACGGCCTTCCCGAAGGCGGTCCTCTGCAGCGACTCCTCATCCTCTGTCCCCTTTCTGTTTCTCTCCACCTTGTTCTCCTTTGGTGATGTCAAAGTCAGGATTTCTTCTTGATGGGTGCCTGACCGTAAATAAGAACCTGACATTGAGAAAAAGGGAGTGAGGTAATGTCATGAAAACCTTCTGCAGTTTATATCACACATGCTGGAGTGGGAATTAAAATGTGTGTCTGTACTTACATGGTTTCCCTTTTATGTTCTTCTTGCTCCTCTCTGTGTTGATTGCATTATTTCTATTCTTCAAATACATGATTTCAATCCAGATGGGCGCACACTCTTTTCCTCAATTTCAATAAATACAGTGATTTTGAAGTAAAATGAAATATATTCTTCAGTAACCAAACTCTCAAATTGAAAGGTTGACTGGAAAAATGTGGAGCATGCATCAGAAGAAAAAAGAAATTTAAAAATTGTTTCCTGAAAAGTCTTCCCTCCCAGAGTATACACTAGTATGCACTGGCACCGTTGCTCTGTATGCAGCAGTGTTGTCTCATGGTTTATAATCCAGAACTACTACATAATGCCCTATAATCCCCTCTGGTGTTGGCCTCCTCCCATGCAGACAGACAATATGTAGCCTCTGGAGACCTCATCAGACCTTGGAGATGAGCAAACCACCTGACCAACACTCAGTGTTGGAAATACATGTGGATCTATATCTGTACAGTCATTGTATGAATGCTATAAATTATTCATCCTCTTGCCCCTACAATCTTTTTGCTACAGAATTTGCACAACTCCTGTTAAAATATCACAGCAATGATCCAATAACAGCGTAATCGTATCTCATGAGACATTATGCAAACACTTTGTCTGCACTGATGAAGATTTATTAACCTCGGCATGCTGGGATTCTTGAAACTGAGAGGGAAAACTGATCACATGGCCACATTTCTGATAAATTTGGGAATTTATTGTCTGAAGGCATTTATGAAATTTCATTTATATAAGATCAGTCCTAAAATATTAAAAAAGCCACACAAAACCATATGAGATGGTAACATAAAGTACTTGGTTCTGACGAATTCGAAGACTGTGAATTTCATTCTCTCAGAACTGACAAAAATATGTGAACTGTATGACAGGATTTTATGTTTCACCTAATCCACTTAATTTTTCACATATCTGCATAACATATAAGCAACTATATGTAAAAAGATAGGAAACAGTGTGACACCACTAAAATATCTTCTTCTTTTACCAAAACATTTAACAGACTTCTTCTAAAAATATTGGTCTTTATTAAAATAACTTCAAAATAAATTCATATTATGACAGTGGAGAAAATGCAAACTTTTCTTGTTATGGATTTGGTTTGATTGAATTTATCCTGGAAAAATTGGCAATGGACATTAAATAAATAAATTGCTTGGTGAAGTCATTAATATACCAAATATAACATCCAAAAGTGAAAAATAAGAACTTTTTAAAGAACTTATTTGATTATAAAGAGGGACATAACATAACATTTGTTTATCATCACAAGAGGGGAGAAAATGCAAAGAAAAAATATTAGAGGAGAAAATAAATCAGTACATGAAAAAACTGCCACTGAACAAAATAAAAATATTACATAAATGTTAAATATGATAATAAACACAGAACATGACAAACAAAAAGGGAAACTATTTCATAAAACAAGATTAAAAATACAGTGAAAAATTAAACTACAATGATATGTTTTTGGATACAATATTTGCTACATTATCAATCAATACATTTATTTATTTATATTTTTATTGAACATTTTAGCAGGACCAGTCCTCCATATTTGGGAAGCATTGAGGTCCACTTGAAAGTGTATAAAAGCGATTAAAATTTCCACCCAGCCTACATAAATCTCATTAAATTCAACATGTTCCGAAGAATTCATAAACGGTACTGCAAGCTAATTTAAGTTTAGCGAAAACCTCTAGAGGAGGTGACCACAGGCCTCTCTGTGACTGACCCGCTGACCCAGACAGACACTGACCATCACAGCAGACAGATGTCTGCTCCCCGTCAACCTCTGCAGGACCGAGACTGGACACCCGGGATTATCCCGGGAAGTCGTTGTGTATAAACTGCTTGCTTATGCTACAGGTGACTCATTATAAGCTGTGCTCAATAAAGCTCTTTGCATGTGCGATGCTGGAGGAAAGACTCTTATGAGGAGAGGATCGCCTGGAAGGAAAATACATGGAGGTGGATTTGAATAGAAAATTACTCCACAGCGTTTTATATGTGACACACCTGCAGCAAAAGAATCTCACGATGAAAAATCCAACTTTATATTAGAGCACATGTGTCAAACTTGAGGCGCGGGGGCCAAATCTGGCCCGCCGTAGCTTTTCATGTGGCCCTCTAAATCCCAAATTACAATAATAATTCCCTCCAGTTTTTCACAAATCTGCGGAATTTATGCAAAATTCACATAAATTCAACAGATCTTCATATTTTTTTCTGATTTTACAGAAATTGTTTTTCTCAAAATTGGCCAAAAACATTGGCCAACGCTTACATGATGTCAAGTTATAGCACATTAGTGCAAATATTTAAATAAATATTTCTAAATTAGCACCGCAAAATCTGTGATTTTGACTGAAAAAAAATTCTGGATGAACTAATCAGTGTGAAAAGATGTTCAATATTATTTAATTTCAAGAAACACAGCTATTTATTGGTAACATTCTGGCACAACTGGCCCTTTAAGAACATTCAGGTTTTTTGATATGGCTCAGAATGTGTAAAGATAAAAAGCCAGATTTAAAGTTAACAATTAATGTTGACATTTTTTTCAGCGTTTATAACAACTTTGAACATGGAGAAATAAATCTTTGTCCAAAGTGTGGGTCGGGTGGTTGAAGCAGTGGACATTTTTTCTTTAAAAAATATTAGGTACAAAAAATAGATTACCATTTATTAAAAAAAGCTTTTGCATTCATTTTAATTCTGGAGTGATAAGAACTACAAACATTGACCTACTTTTTCTCAAAAGCATACCTTACTGTTCAAATAAGAAAGTAATAAAACCAAAAAATGTACAAAACAATGAGCCTGTCTAATAAAAACACAATTGTACTAAACCATTTTTTTCCATTTAAATGTCCCCAGTAAGTTAAAGATTTATGGTCTTATTGGTGTTAAGGTCCATAAGGCATTTGGATGAGAAAAATACCCACAGAAAGTCAGATTCTCCACTGTATGACGCTTCTATGATGTGCAAACACATCGTCATGACAACGAAAGAGGTCAGACACCAGAGGGGTCAGACATGCAGCAGTGAACAGGGTTCAAACTGTATTGAACGATCCAATGGGGTTAACAGGAGAATCACTCTAATCAACACGTCTGATGAGGAATCACAGTGTTGACCTGATTGGTCAACACTCAACTTAAATATGCATATATTTTTATGGTAATGCAATTTTAAGATATTTTTAATCCTTAAACATTTTTTTTTTTAAACTAAAAATGTATTGTGTTCTTCAAGACAAAAATTCCCAGAAACTGAGGTAAAGTTCTTACATGTTGATGTATTTTCACTTCCTTTAGAACTTCTACAATCTAAAATATTGATGTCAGTACTGATAATATTTTCAGAATTTCAGCTGGTTAAATGCCTCTTTGGTGACAAAGGTCCACGCTGTTATTGGAATATTGTCATGTTTGTTAGATAATAATAACTTTGAATTGCCTTGTTGCTCAAAATGTGCTATATAAATGAAATTACCTTACCTTACCTTACTAAATATTTCTTTATTCTTATTACTTTTCTTGTATTATTATGACGACCTGAGTTGTGTCAATAACTGGCAGCCACACTCACTTTAATGCGTCTTCATTATTATGACTTAAGTTAATTATAACAATTTTTTCTCTCCTTTTACTATTTTTAAACTACTTGAGCCTGAAATATATGGGAATTTAAAATTATAGTTTCAGTGTTTGTTTAATGTTTTTTTTGTAACCATGTAAAAAACATAAAAAATGTAATTTCAAAAAAGACATTAATCACACACATAGACGCTTTTATAACAAACACAATACCCAACCGTCACTACCCATTCATTTCAGTATCAACGCGTCTTTGCAGAAGAAATTTTCCTGCATGTTGTAAAATTACCGCCATCTTGTGGTCATATATAAGATTTAACAAAAAGAATAACTACTTATCCAAAATAAATTAATATAAAATAATTTTTTTATGTTAAATAAATGCGGGATCAAAAATGGTTGTCTCAATAGTTTTTCAAAGAGTATTTCTTGTAATTTGGATTTGTTTTAGTGTAGCTTAGCCAGTGTATGCTAATTTAAGAACCTAATATGTAATTTCTGAAATAATAAAAAAATAACAATAGTTCAGATTTGAAACATACATATTTATTCAACAGCCAAAATAACTTAGAAAATGAAAAGGACAAATAGCACAAAATTACCTTTGAGTCTGTTTAGGGTTAAACTCTGAGCCATTTCATTTATAAGATCAATGTTTGTTGTGCTCATTCTCTAAATGTGCTAGCTTAACTTTCCACATCGCCTCAAATATATGCACAATACGTACAGTTTTAGTCAGGATCTTAAATGAGTTAGAGAAAAGCAAAGAGCTGAGATTTGTGAAAGGTTTAAGAGTGTCTGACCATTTGGTGACATGTTGAATAAACACAAAGGTGCTGGAGTTTTCAGAAGGTGGGGATCACGCTCCCCCCTGCTGCTCCTGTTTATGTGTTTAGACCTGGTTTTGTTTTAAGTCAGAGGTGCTAAACACCTTCCCCCTGAAATAAAAGATGATTGATGCCTTTGAGGGAGACTCTTTGAATGGTTCAGGGCCTTTTTAAGCCCTGTCATTAGTAGGAGCTCAGGTCTGGTCAGCATATTTGGGTCTCTCTGCAGCAACAAAAACAACAACAAACCAAAAAAAAAAAAAAAACAGAGACGCTGAGATCCCCCTGTGAAGTGACTCCTGCATTGTAAGGCATTTATCATGGAAATTTGATTTGTTCTCCTTTCTTTGGCCTCTCAAGACTCACTTTTGAGTATAAATATCTGAGGCAGAAGTTAGCAGCATAGCACTAAGGAGCACATTCAGATGAGTGATGGATGTTCTCCAACTTTTCCTTCTGTTCCTGTTTGTGCTTCACATGACATGTAAGTACTGGTGGCCAGTCCTTTCTTCTAGAGCAGCTGTCTGATTTATCTCACAGGAAAGTGCATGCTAATCTATGAAAACGGTAAATAATCGTAAAATAATATAATCTTACTGGAAAGGGGAATTGCAGTTTTTGTGCTAACTACATTTTCTTTCAAAATACAAAGAATGACTGCTTGCAGATAAGTACAATCTTTATTTTCCTGCTGCTTTAGATTAGTGTCTCATGTTGCAACACTTCAATCAATGCTATTCATCAGCAAATGGCAGGACAGATGCATCCCTGTCTTGTGTTTTTGTAGTGAGTAAACACATCGTTCACAGAAATCTGTTTACACAACGAGTGTGCTGCAAGAGGCAGAGTCACTTTGTATACATTGGGCAAG